TGAGAATTCATTGAGATTGAGAGACTGTTTCATTTGATTGAAAGTTGCATTTTCCAATTTCTTCCAATGATAAGTTCTGGCAAAATGTGGTCCAATATGCTGGTGAAATAAATATTTTTTAAAAATCAGTTGAATTGTTCCATAAATGTAGTAATTGTTTCTTACACTAAATTCAAAATGTTGTGAGACTGAAGTAAAACACTGCTAGCACAATTCTGACACTAAATACTTAAACATGGTAAATATTTAAAATAAATACAAAACTACAAGATTTTCTCTCTGAAAAATCTCTAAATATTTTGGTCACTGTCTAAATAGTCTTCCTACCACAGATGGAATATAAGCAAGATAAGTCATCAAAGATTATTCAGAAAATTCTAGTGGGAGCTGGAGGTGTAGTCCAGCAAAGAGCACGTTTAGCATGCGTGAGGCCCTGGGTTCAATCTCTAGCACCACATAACCAAAATGAAACAAACCAAAAAAATCCCTCTTATAAAGAGGAAAATACAGCCCTGAAGTACTACAAAAGAGATGTGTACTTTTTCAATCATCACAATCATATTAACTTTAGTAGTGTTTTAGTATTAAGAGCATTTTTTAATGAAAATTAATCCTGAAATTTAACATGATATCTCAATACCAACACTTGGTCAATCCAAACACTGAAACAACAAATATCTGCATATCTATACATCAATATATATCTCCTTATAATTTATTTAAGAGTTCTTCAAGCTGGCAAAGTAAACTCAAATATCAAGACAAAAGTTTCCAAAATGAATTTATGAAGTGTTTATGATAACCTATATGTCAGGCCCCCCACAAAGAAAATTTGTTTTGAAAAACTTAAAATAAGAGTGAGAAGTAGGCTTCGTTCTATTCTGGAGTTAACGTTTTAAACCACCATGTTTAACCAGTTCTATTCTCTCAGATTTTGTGTGTGCGTGCTGCACTGGGGATCAAACCCAGGGCTGTGTGCATGCCAGGCAAGTTCTCTACCACAGAGCTATATCCCAACCACTCTAGTGCTATTCTCGTACACACACACACACACACACACACACACACTTACAAACATGCATACACTGACACACTGACAAGGTAGACCTCTCTCAATTGATGCATACTATGTGGATAGGGTTCTTGTGGAACCCTTAGAAAGACATTTAAGATTTCTAGCATACACGCAATTAAGACAGAAGTATTGTCTTCTATGAAAAGATTATGGCTTGAGGTAGACTTTGAAAAAGTCTCATTTTAAATTATTTAAAAAAACCTTTCCACTTAGCATTAGGCAGTTAGAAAATTGTTATCTACCCTATCCTACGTCAAAATCCCAGGATAAAGATTTTTTGTATGGTTATAGCCTCAGAATTTTCTTATTCCTTCCTTCTGGCCTGTAAAAAATAGTTCTAAAGTTAATTTCCAATTGATATTTAGGGGCACCCACTCTGATATATGGCATGGAATTTGTTAGAGGATAAAATTCTCATTTAGTATAAAACTCATACTGTGAAGACATTCTTATATTATGAAAACAGAGTGGCAAAATGGAAGGGGATATTGTTAACCATGGTCCATGACATATACTCTGCCTTTTCACTGGCTCAGTAAGACTACTACTGATTACTAGTAAACTCTGGCCATAAGCCTTTCCTGAGCCAGAAATGAAGGCAAGGAAACTCATTTCTTTTTACTAAATATTTTGATTTCTGAAGTGTGAATTCTAAGCACTCTAAACATTATATATAAACATTTAAAACTTAATTCTTATAAAAAATAAAGCTGTATCTGCTTCCTTAACCTTACACCTATAATTAAAATAAAAGGTAGGCAGAGCTGTAATACATTTTAACAGTGTACACAAAGAAACCCAACTGCAAAATTAAACATAAAAGACCCAGTGTCTTTTTGGTTCTTAACACATACAGCCTCCAAAAAGTAAACTCCATGTTACTTTTTAAGTAAATAGATTAAAAACAAGATTAACAAAAAGTCTATGGCATGTCAAATTATAGTTTCTACTAGCTAAAAACTGTTACATTGGCTTAGGATTTTTAAAATATAAATGAGACTAGAAAAGACAGGATGAGGGAAGGGACTTTCCTTCTTGAATAGTTAAAGGGTAATTTTTATCTAAAAGGGTTTATTTAAAAAAGAAAAAGGAACATTCAAAGTTAGGCTTTACTAAAAATCTGAAAATAAGGTAGAAATTAAAATGCAAAAATAGGGCTATACTATTAAAAATTTAAAAGTTCTAGAACATTTTTTAGAGGAGGTAAAATATATAACTATTTGAGGAAATTGTGTAATTGCTAAATAAAAATATTTATTATTTTTCCCATGTAGGTCTCCAAATCAACAATTTAAAGACATTAACTTAGATGTGATTTTAAAACAAATAAAGAAAAACAGCACAGCCAAAGAGCTGTAGGATGTATGTATTTTAGAGTTTTATTAGCATGAACATTTTGGAATCTTACTTTTGTACTAATGTAGTGAAGTCAAGTTTGGTTAAAAGATACTTTACTTAAATGCAAGTTGTTAGAGAGACTTCATTTTATCTCTCTCAAGAAATTGCTGAAAATAGCTAACACTTCTGAGCCCTCTTTTTACTTCAGAATATGCTTTAAAGAATATTGATTTTGAACATTACACAGGTCCACTTATATTAATCAACTTCATCATCTTTCTTATGTGTTTGAAAAATAATATTGTTAATCTACAGACTTCTTTTTTTTTTAAAAAGTGATTTCTATATAGATCTTAATTTGTAGTTGCTAAAACTCAAGTTTTTCTACAAATGACCTTTTAGTCCTACAGGTTGGGAGGCAGATAAAAAACATTTCCAAACTGGCTGTTTTAATAACACCTACCCCCCCAGCACAGTTCCTTTGGGGTAAGAAGTACACACTTTTTGGTTAGAAGAAATTGATCAATGATGAGGTATAAGAAGTAGCAGAGTTTTAAATATACTAGTTTAAAAGAATACACACTTGTAATTCTAGTTCCTTACTTGGTCACTGATTTGACTGATGCCACATGTGCATGTGAAGGCTACTGTGAGTCAATAGATGGCAGTCCATCGCCTAGTGAAAGAGCTCGAGGTGACTAAAAGCACGCATCTTGCTTTCACTCAACACTGAACTCTGCCATATGCAGATACATGCTCAGATATTATCTGCATGCTGATAATTTAAATAATTATCAGAGTTTTTTTAGACAGACTGATAAAATATGCACACCTATAAGCATACTAGTGATATATTTATACTTGCATAATAAACTCATCAATTAAAACTTGATAATTATGAATTGTGATAGTTATTTCAGTATTATTTTGAAAAATTAACCAGTTTGGGACAAACTCAAATGGAATTTGGGAACAAATTCAAATGGAATTTTTTATACCTAGAGATAGAATATATTACATTTCACTAATGATAAATTCTTTTAGTTTTTATTTATTTTTTCCCATTCTTTTTACAATTTATTTTTCTGAAAAGCTAAACCATTAAACAAACCTTCAAAAATTTCTGTTGTACCTGAAACCAATGTTTACCCTTCAACAATACTTACATGAAGTGTAAATAAAGAAAAAAGTGGCTTTACCCCACAGCATTTCCCACACTTTAAGTTTTCAAATTTGGAATTCTACATAGAGGAAAAACTAAAAGAAATGCAATGCCAATACTATGAGAATATTGGTTAATAAGAATAATGGTGAAAAATATGCTATATTGTTACAAACTGGCTTTGTGATTTTGGTAAGTACAAGATATGATTAGATTTTAATCAATTTTAGGCAGTAAGGACTTTGTTATATTACATTAAGATAAAAATTGCTACATAAGCACAAATACAATGTGTTTATATAAATGACATATTTCATAGTATGTGTAATATATGTGAGAATGTGTATTTCTTTTGGTATAACACTGAAGCTTCTAACCAATACTTATTTAGGATCTGAAAGATAGCTGAGGAATTACAGCTTTCTAACTGAAAATCTTTCAAATACATAATGATAGCAAAATGTGAAAACAAATGACCTGATATTATTCTTGGCTTCCTGGGCCTATGATAAGCGGGAAATGAGTCTACCTGTTGGTTAACTTTATTTCAGTAAGAGCAAAGTAGTAAGCAGAAACTTGTTTAGCAAAATCTTTGCCTTTTAACTTTTTTTTAATAAACAAAGCTTTTTAATATGCAAATCTAACAACTATTAGTTATATATTATATAACTGTGCAGCTAAAAGAAAACTGTCTCTTACCCAACACAACTTATTTAATACATTAAAAAATGACTAGTAGAGCTATAGTGAATTACTGAAATTATTAAGCTGAACAGCAATAGTAAACTGACTTCATAATATTGAATATTAGCAATTAGATTCTATAGCAATTATGCTTTCTGCTTCTACTTAGACTAAAATCTTAATAAAAGGAAATAATGGAATTGAATAATTTGAATATTAAGCAGATATTTATATATTTCAAATAAGTCAAGAAAGGCTTAAGAGCAGGACAGCTGAACTGTGCTATATAAAAGATACACTAAGCCTTTTCTAGATTCATTTAAATATGTGTAAATATTTCAGTGAAGGTAAAAAAAATGATAATGTATAGTATTAGGGACTATATGCTTATGAACTACTGCAATATAATATTTTAAAGACACTGGATTCTTACTACTTTTATGGCTTCTAGCTTACTTTTTCCCTTTAATAAATATGGTCTAGGAAGACTAAGAGCTATCATGATGTAATCATTAAATGTAATCATTAAATCAAAATCTTCTAGGAACAGGAAGATAAAGGATATGGTAGTAGGCAGGGAATAAAAGAGAAAAAGTGTATTATTTCTTTTTCAGTACAAAAACTCTCTAGATGTTTATTATCTTCCAGCAGAAGATGCTTGTCTATATTTTATGGTCAGCAGCTCAGAGACGGGTAAATAGGCTGCATCTTGGGGAAAATAAAAAAGGTGTTTCTACTCACCGTTAGGTGATACTGCCTCCAGATTTCTGGGCAAGC